TGTTTAAACAACTTGGGATTTTATTTGAGAATAAAACTAGCAGCAACTAACAGGTTGACTTTGCTGATGCAGGAGCTTCTTTGTGGTAAGTTACCAATTGTAATTTCTGGCAACAAACTTGCATGCCTATTGCTAATGTGGACTCTCACTGCAGCTGAAACACAGAATCAGGCAGCTGACATTGACGAGTAGTGGTCATCAGCCCACAATGGTCATTTACTACAGGTTTTTCTTACACATTCAACCAGAATACATAGCTTGCAGATTTGAAACCAATTTATCAACAAAAACATGTTAATTATACCCATGACCCCTGTCAGGGCTGTTAAGGATAGATTCATTTGATGAAGTGATTTACTCCTAAGGCAATATTTCTGGACCCTTTCGTGGAATATTAGGAGATAAACATACTGTGATTTCAATCTAGAGCTAGGTTACCGTGACCGTAGATTTAACTGTGCTACATTGAATTTGGAAATGAATGCGCAGCATGAGGATTCAAATTTTAAATTTAGCCACACATGCAACACACCCTTTGAATATTGTAGTGACCGCAACTTTGCATTTTGTAAACCCATAATTGTAGATATAATCAGTTAATTACACCTACCGACAATGACTGAGAAAAAAGACTATACTATGAATATTTGCTTCTGCAGTGATGCAGCCATTGGCTGTTTCAATCAGAGGGGGTTTATTGTGATTTGACAACCTCTGACTGGCCAATCAGAATCGAGTAATTTCCAAATTCATGGTAGAATATACCATAATACATACAGTGAAGGATATAGTGAGAGAAAACATAACGTGATATACCGATACATATCTAAACATGAAAATAGAAAGGAGACAACATCCTCATTGTTCACATGGCACATAGCATACCACTATCTTGCATGTAATGGCACATAGCATACCACTATCTTGCATGTAATGGCACATAGCATACCACTATCTTGCACGTAATGGCACATAGCATACCACTATCTTGCATGTAATGGCACATAGCATATCACTATCTTGCACGTAATGGCACATAGCATACCACTATCTTGCATGTAATGGCACATAGCATACCACTATCTTGCACGTAATGGCACATAGCATACCATTATCTTGCACTCTCATCAAAATTTAAATGTGATGATATGTTACGAGATATGCCTACTAATGTACAGATTCATGTCTTAATACTGTATCCATGTTACATAAGGTGATGTTTGCAATAACCAAGCCCGATAACAATTTGGGCTAGTGTCAATATACTGCCTATCATGGAAAAGCATGCAATTTCACACAAAAAATGCATATTGAATCATGACTCCATCCTCGTGATATGGATTGGGCCTCTAGTGTGACACCACTTCAGTGCACTAACATCACACACAATAGCACATAACACAATATATATAAGAGCATACAAAATTGCAAGAATAACTGTTAGTGTGTTAGTCAATACCCATAATTCAGAAAAAAGTGAGAAGTATGGAAGAATATGATTAATACTTTCTTTAAAGGAGACAATTATTACAAGTTAGGAAGCTTCAGACTGGAAGTTTCAGGCAGTGACTACAGACTGGCTTCAGATGGAGCAACAGACAGAGCAACAGACAGGGGCTTCAGATGGAGCAACAGACAGAGCAACAGACAGGGGCTTCAGATGGAGCAACAGACAGGGGCTGCAGATGGAGCAACAGACAGGGGCTACAGATGGAGCAACAGACAGGGGCTACAGATGGAGCAACAAACAGGGGCTTCAGATGGAGCAACAGACAGGGGCTGCAGATGGAGCAACAGACAGGGGCTACAGATGGAGCAACAGACAGGGGCTACAGATGGAGCAACAGACAGGGGCTGCAGATGGAGCAACAGACAGGGGCTACAGATGGAGCAACAGACAGGGGCTACAGATGGAGCAACAAACAGGGGCTTCAGATGGAGCAACAGACAGGGGCTACAGATGGAGCAACAGACAGGGGCTTCAGATGGAGCAACAGACAGGGGCTGCAGATGGAGCAACAGACAGGGGCTACAGATGGAGCAACAGACAGGGGCTACAGATGGAGCAACAGACAGGGGCTTCAGATGGAGCAACAGACAGGGGCTACAGATGGAGCAACAGACAGGGGCTTCAGATGGAGCAACAGACAGGGGCTGCAGATGGAGCAACAGACAGGGGCTACAGATGGAGCAACAGACAGGGGCTGCAGATGGAGCAACAGACAGGGGCTACAGATGGAGCAACAGACAGGGGCTACAGATGGAGCAACAAACAGGGGCTTCAGATGGAGCAACAGACAGGGGCTACAGATGGAGCAACAGACAGGGGCTTCAGATGGAGCAACAGACAGGGGCTGCAGATGGAGCAACAGACAGGGGCTACAGATGGAGCAACAGACAGGGGCTACAGATGGAGCAACAGACAGGGGCTTCAGATGGAGCAACAGACAGGGGCTACAGATGGAGCAACAGACAGGGGCTTCAGATGGAGCAACAGATAGGGGCTGCAGATGGAGCAACAGACAGGGGCTACAGATGGAGCACACAGACAGGGGCTACAGATGGAGCAACAGACAGGGGCTTCAGATGGAGCAACAGACAGGGGCTTCAGATGGAGCAACAGGCAGGGGCATCAGACAGGAGACTGCTGACAGGGGACCTTGAAAAAGAGGTTCTTAATGGAGGCAACAAACAGGAGGCTACAGGCAGGGGGCTGGTGACCTGTGCATGGCAAGCAGATTTCAGTAGCGTTAAGATTAGAACAACTAATCTGTTGCTTCTCTCCTATTTTGGCCTAGTGGCACACCACCATATTAACCACAACACAACCAGGGCTGTCACACAACACAGGCATCAGAAAATTGTAAATACATGATAAAATTATTCACAGATAATATTTTTTCAATTCATCATAAAATAATAATTTGCAACATGATTTGCCACTTTGTGGATGACAAGATAGACTATCTACACACAAACAGGCAGTTACTACTGATACAAACTCACACTTCAGGGCTTTATTCTGTACAAACAAAAAACTTCCTGAAACCAAATATTTTATGTAAGGCATCCATCTGATAAAACCAATGCAATAACAGTGTGGTCATCTCCAGGGAGACTCCTGAACCTCAAGGTAAGTGACCTGGTGGAACTGAGGTGCAGTCACACTGGTCTAACAAGGACGTGACAGTGCCATCACCAATCTTTGTTGATTTATGGGATATGTACTTAATCAAGGTGGGATTATAGATTTTGATACATCATATGTCTTCTTGTGCATAGCCTGACACGTGTCACAAACATTGTACCTGACACATCACAAAGAGACTGAGTGTATCTGACATATCACACAGAGACTGAGTGTATCTGACACTTCTCACAGAGACTGGGTGAACCTGACACATCTCACAGAGACTGGGTGTATCTGACACATCTCAGAGAGACTGGGTGTATCTGACACATCTCACAGAGACTGAGCGTATCTGACACATCACACAGAGACTGGGTGTACCTGACACATCACACAGAGACTGGGTGTACCTGACACATCACACAGAGACTGGGTGTACCTGACACATCTCATAGAGAGTGGGTGTATCTGACACATCAAACAGAGACTGGGTGTACCTGACACATCACACAGAGACTGGGTGTATCTGACACATCACACAGAGACTGGGTGTACCTGACACATCACACAGAGACTGAGTGTATCTGACACTTCTCACAGAGACTTGGTGTATCTGACACATCACACAGAGACTGGGTGTACCTGACACATCACACAGAGAGTGGGTGTATCTGACACATCACACAGAGACTGGGTGTACCTGACACATCACACAGAGAGTGGGTGTATCTGACACATCACACAGAGACTGGGTGTATCTGACACATCACACAGAGACGGGGTGTATCTGACACATCACACAGAGACTGGGTGTATCTGACACATCACACAGAGACTGGGTGTATCTGACACATCACACAGAGACTGGGTGTATCTGACACATCACACAGAGACTGGGTGTATCTGACACATCACACAGAGACTGGGTGTATCTGACACATCACACAGAGACTGGGTGCATCTGACACATCACACAGAGACTGGGTGTATCTGACACATAACACGGAGACTGAGTGTACGTGACACATCACACAGAGACTGGGTGTATCTGACACATCTCACAGAGACTGAGTGTACGCGACACATCACACAGAGACTTGGTGTATCTGACACTTCTCACAGAGACTGGGTGTATCTGACACATCACACAGAGAGTGGGTGTATCTGACACATCACACAGAGACTGTGTGTATCTGACACATCACACAGAGACTGAGTGTATCTGACACTTCTCACAGAGGCTTGGTGTACCTGACACCTCTTACAGAGACTTGGTGTACCTGACACATCACACAGAGACTGGTCGTACCTGACACATCACACAGAGACTGGGTGTATCTGACACATCACACAGAGACTGGGTGTATCTGACACATAACACAGAGACTGAGTGTATCTGACACTTCTCACAGAGACTTGGTGTACCTGACACATCACACAGAGACTGGGTGTATCTGACACATCTCACAGAGACTGGGTGTATCTGACACATAACACAGAGACTGAGTGTATCTGACACATCTCACAGAGACTAGGTGTACCTGACACATCACACAGAGACTGGGTGTACCTGACACATCACACAGAGAGTGGGTGTATCTGACACATCACACAGAGACTGGGTGTACCTGACACATCACACAGAGACTGGGTGTATCTGACACATCACACAGAGACTGGGTGTACCTGACACATCACACAGAGAGTGGGTGTATCTGACACATCACACAGAGACTGGGTGTATCTGACACATCACACAGAGACTGGGTGTATCTGACACATCACACAGAGATTGGGTGTATCTGACACATCACACAGAGACTGGGTGTATCTGACACATCACACAGAGACTGGGTGTATCTGACACATCACACAGAGACTGGGTGTATCTGACACATCACACAGAGACTGGGTGTATCTGACACATCACACAGAGAGTGGGTGTATCTGACACATCACACAGAGACTGGGTGTATCTGACACATCACACAGAGACTGGGTGTACCTGACACATCTCACAGAGACTGAGTGTACGTGACACATCACACAGAGACTGGGTGCATCTGACACATCACACAGAGACTGGGTGTATCTGACACATCACACAGAGACTGGGTGTACCTGACACATCTCACAGAGACTGAGTGTACGTGACACATCACACAGAGACTGGGTGTATCTGACACATCACACAGAGACTGGGTGTATCTGACAAATCTCACAGAGACTGAGTGTATCTGACACATCACACAGAGACTTGGTGTATCTGACACTTCTCACAGAGACGGGGTGTATCTGACACATCACACAGAGAGTGGGTTTATCTGACACATCACACAGAGACTGGGTGTACCTGACACATCTCACAGAGAGTGGGTGTATCTGACACATCAAACAGAGACTAGGTGTATCTGACACATCACATAGAGAGTGGGTGTATCTGACACATCACACAGAGACTGGGTGTATCTGACACATCACACAGAGAGTGGGTGTATCTGACATCACACAGAGACTTGGTGTATCTGACACATCTCACAGAGAGTGGGTGTATCTGACACATCTCACAGAGAGTGGGTGTATCTGACACATCAAAGAGAGACTAGGTGTATCTGACACATTACACAGAGAGTGGGTGTATCTGACACATCACACAGAGACTGGGTGTATCTGACACATCACACAGAGACTGGGTGTATCTGACACATCACACAGAGACTGGGTGTATCTGACACATCACACAGAGACTGGGTGTATCTGACACATCACACAGAGACTGGGTGTATCTGACACATCTCACAGAGAGTGGGTGTATCTGACACATCAAACAGAGACTAGGTGTATCTGACACATCACACAGAGAGTGGGTGTATCTGACACATCAAACAGAGACTAGGTGTATCTGACACATCACACAGAGAGTGGGTGTATCTGACACATCACACAGAGACTGTGTGTATCTGACACATCACACAGAGAGTGGGTGTATCTGACACATCTCACAGAGAGTGGGTGTATCTGACACATCAAAGAGAGACTAGGTGTATCTGACACATCACACAGAGAGTGGGTGTATCTGACACATCACACTGAGACTGGGTGTATCTGACACATTACACAGAGACTGGGTGTATCTGACACATCACACAGAGACTGGGTGTATCTGACACATCACACTGAGACTGGGTGTATCTGACACATCTCACAGAGAGTGGGTGTATCTGACACATCAAAGAGAGACTAGGTGTATCTGACACATCACACAGAGACTGGGTGTACCTGACACATCACACAGAGGCTGAGTGTATCTGACACATCTCACAGAGAGTGGGTGTATCTGACACATCACACAGAGAGTGGGTGTATCTGACACATCAAACAGAGACTAGGTGTATCTGACACATCTCACAGAGAGTGGGTGTATCTGACACATCTCACAGAGACTGGGTGTATGTGACATCACACAGAGACTGAGTGTATGTGACACATCACACAGAGACTGGGTGTATCTGACACATCACACAGAGATTGGGTGTATCTGACACATCTCACAGAGACTGAGTGTACGTGACACATCTCACAGAGATTGGGTGTATCTGACATATCACACAGAGAGACTGAGTGTACCTGACAAATCATGCAGTGACTGGATCTGCCTGCAACTAGCCTCTGTACAGGAAACCATTACTATGTACACATCACCGTAGCAGCACATATGGAACATCCCACTGTTTCCAGTGGGCCCTTCTTGGATATCACAGAGTCCTATCTCATGCACAATCTTCACAGCCTATGATCGATCATCCGTCATTTCCAAGAATTGAGCATAAACATCTCTTGTGCACTCGCCCTTTGGACTGAAGAGGAACTTGTAGTAACTGCCATCTGCACACACCACTGAAACAGAATATTATAACAGTAGAAGGGACTTGTTATTTGGTGTTCTATATGTGCAGTGAACATGTTGGGTTATAATGATCATTAGGAGGCTACAATGATTTCAACATGGACACTGAAGCATCCAACCTCACAACAGTATAGTCTATAACTACACTGTCACTGAAACGCCCAGCCTCACAACAGCAGTATGGTCTATAACTACACTGACACTGAAGCGTTCCAGCCTCACAACAGCCGTATTGTTTATAACTACACTGACACTGAAGCGTTCCAGCCTCACAACAGCCGTATTGTTTATAACTACACTGTCACTGAAACCCCCGAGCCTCACAACAGGAGTATGGTCTATAACTACACTGTCACTGAAACGCCCAGCCTCACAACAGCAGTATGGTCTGTAACTACACTGACACTGAAGTGTTCCAGCCTCACAACAGCAGTATTGTTTATAACTACACTGTCACTGAAACGCCCAGCCTCACATCAGCAGTATGGTCTATAACTACACTGACACTGAAGCGTTCCAGCCTCACAACAGCAATATGGTCTATAACTACACTGACACTGAAACACCCAGCCTCACAACAGCAGTATGATCTATAACTACACTGACACTGAAGCATCCAGCATCACAACAACAGTATGGTCTATAACTACACTGACACTGAAGTGTTCCAGCATCACAACAGCAGTATGATTTATAACTACACTGATACTTAAGTGTCCAGCATCACAACAGCAGTATGGTCTATAACTACACTGACACTGAAGCGTCCAGCATCACAACAACAGTATGGTTTATAACTACACTGACACTGAAGCCTCAAGCCTCACAAAAGCAGTATGATCTATAACTACACTGACACCGAACATGCTGAAGTGTCCAGCATCACAACAGCAGTATGATCTATAACTACACTGACACTGAAGCGTCCAGCATCACAACAGCAGTATGGTTTATAACTACACTGACACTTAAGCGTCCAGCATCACAACAGAAGTATGATCTATAACTACACTGACACTGAAGCGTCCAGCATCACAACAACAGTATAGTGTATAACTACCTGACACTAAAGCGTCCAGCATCACAACAACAGAATGGTTTATAACTACACTGACACTGAAGCGTCCAGCATCACAACAGCAGTATGGTTTATAACTACACTGACACTGAAGTGTCCAGCATCAAAACAACAGTATGGTTTATAACTACACTGACACTGAAGCGTCCAGCATCAAAACAACAGTATGGTTTATACTACACTGACACTGAAGTGTCCAGCATCACAACAACAGAATGGTCTATAACTACACTGACACTGAAGTGTCCAGCATCACAACAACAGTTTGGTTTATAACTACACTGACACTGAAGCGTCCAGCATCACAACAGCAGTATGGTTTATAACTACACTGACACTGAAGCGTCCAGCATCACAACAGTAGTATGGTCTGTAACTACACTGACACTGAAGCGTCCAGCATCACAACAGCAGTATGGTCTATTACTACACTGACACTGAAGCATCCAGCATCACAACAGCAGTATGGTTTATAGCTACACTGACACTGAAGCATCAAGCCTCACAACAGAATGAACTACACTGACACTGAACATGCTGAAGCGTCCAGCATCACAACAGCAGAATGGTCTATAACTACACTGACACTGAAGCATCCAGCATCACAACAGAATGGTCTAAACCTACACTGACACTGAAGCGTCCAGCATCACAAGAACAGTATGGTTTATAACTACACTGACACTGAAGTGTCCAGCATCACAACAACAGTATGGTTTATAACTACACTGACACTGAAGTGTTCAGCATCACAACAGCAGTATGGTTTATAACTACACTGACACTGAAGTGTCCAGTATCACAACTGCAGTATGGTCTATAACAACACTGACACTGAAGTGTCCAGCATCACAACAGCAGTATGGTCTATTACTAAACTGACACTGAAGTGTCCAGCATCACATAAGAATGGTCTATAACTACACTGACACTGAAGTGTCCAGCATCACAACAGCAGTATGGTCTATTACTACACTGACACTAAAGCATCCAGCATCACAACAGCAGTATTGTTTATAACTACACTGACACTAAAGCATCCAGCATCACAACAGCAGTATGGTTTATAACTACACTGACACTGAAGCATCCAGCATCACAACAGAATGGTCTAAACCTACACTGACACTGAAGTGTCCAGCATCACAACAGCAGTATGGTCTATAACTACACTGACACTGAAGTGTTCAGGATGACAACAGCAGTATGGTCTATTACTACACTGACACTGAAGCATCCAGCATCACAACAGAATGGTCTAAACCTACACTAACACTGAAGTGTTCAGCATCACAACAGCAGTATGGTCTATTACTACACTGACACTGAAGTGTCCAGCATCACAACTGCAGTATGGTTTATAACTACACTGACACTGAAGCGTCCAGCATCACAACAGTAGTATGGTCTGTAACTACACTGACACTGAAGCGTCCAGCATCACAACCGCAGTATGGTTTATAACTACACTGACACTGGAGCTTCCAGCATCACAACAGTAGTAGGGTCTGTAACTACACTGACACTGAAGCGTCCAGCATCACAACAGCAGTATGGTCTATTACTACACTGACACTAAAGCATCCAGCATCACAACAGCAGTATTGTTTATAACTACACTGACACTAAAGCATCCAGCATCACAACAGCAGTATGGTTTATAACTACACTGACACTGAAGCATCAAGCCTCACAACAGAATGATCTACAATGACACTGAACATGCTGAAGCGTCCAGCATCACAACAGCAGTATGGTTTATAACTACACTGACACTGAAGCGTCCAGCATCACAACAACAGAATGGTCTATAACTACACTGACACTGAAGCATCCAGCATCACAACAGAATGGTCTATAACTACACTGACACTGAAGCGTCCAGCATCACAAGAACAGTATGGTTTATAACTACACTGACACTGAAGTGTCCAGTATCACAACTGCAGTATGGTCTATGACTACACTGACACTGAAGTGTCCAGCATCACAACAGCAGTATGGTCTATTACTAAACTGACACTGAAGTGTCCAGCATCACAACAGAATGGTCTATAACTACACTGACACTGAAGTGTCCAGCATCACAACTGCAGTATGGTCTATAACTACACTGACACTGAAGCGTCCAGCATCAACACAGCAGTATGATCTATAACTACACTGACACTGAAGTGTCCAGCATCACAACAGCAGTATGGTTTATAACTACACTGACACTGAAGTGTCCAGCATCACAACTGCAGTATGGTTTATAACTACACTGACACTGAAGCTTCCAGCATCACAACAGTAGTATGGTCTGTAACTACACTGACACTGAAGCGTCCAGCATCACAACCGCAGTATGGTTTATAACTACACTGACACTGAAGTGTCCAGCATCACAACAGTAGTAGGGTCTGTAACTACACTGACACTGAAGCTTCCAGCCTCACAACAGCAGTATGGTCTGTAACTACACTGACACTGAAGCGTCCAGCATCACAACCGCAGTATGGTTTATAACTACACTGACACTGAAGCGTCCAGCATCACAACAGCAGTATGGTCTATTACTACACTGACACTGAAGCGTCCAGCATCACAACAGCAGTATGGTTTATACTACACTGACACTGAAGCGTCCAGCATCACAACAGCAGTATGGTCTATAACTACACTGACACTGAAGCGTCCAGCATCACAACAGCAGTATGGTTTATAACTACACTGACACTGAAGCGTCCAGCATCACAACAGCAGTATGGTTTATAACTACACTGACACTAAATCATCCAGCATCACAACAGCAGTATGGTCTATTACTACACTGACACTGAAGCGTCCAGCATCACAACCGCAGTATGGTTTATAACTACACTGACACTAAAGCATCCAGCATCACAACAGCAGTATGGTCTGTAACTACACTGACACTGAAGCGTCCAGCATCACAACCGCAGTATGGTTTATAACTACACTGACACTGAAGCGTCCAGCATCACAACAGTAGTAGGATCTGTAACTACACTGACACTGAAGCTTCCAGCCTCACAATAGCAGTATTCTCTAAGAGTTAACCAAGTCAACACAAAGAGATATTATTCACTTGAGATAGTATTTCTTTAATATCAGCATTTTGAAGGCAGATGGTAGAAATGATTCTAGGTTCAGGAGAAACCTGTGACTCACCTATCACAGCATTTGGTTCTGCCCCAAAGGCACAGATACAGTGTGCACCGCCAGGAACCTGGAACTTGGAGAAACTCCAGTTGGAACTGAAGTATTTTGGAAGAAAGCTTGCGGTTGCCAGACTGTATCAAACAAAAGATGCATACATGTACATAATACACAATCAAACAATCTCAACTGAACAATGAAGCAGTATTTTCACTATCCCCCACCACAGGGCACATTTCTTTCATAAGAGGACTTTGGTTTACCTCAATGCCGATTAAAAGATCTTACCACTAAACAAAGACATGTGGACATCCCATTACAGGTCACATCAAATGACCTTTCATCCGACCAATCAGAAAGTCGCTTTCCAGATCGGAAAATTGACAATCGGAATGTGTCTTCTAATCATGCAATCTCAACACAAGGTATTCTGAATGACAGTTACAGAGAGTATGATTGATTCTGTCAAAATCATCAAATATCTGACACTTCCAAAGGATAAATATTTGCACAAAAGAATATTTCCGTAGCCAGTGGGAAGTACTTCCAAAAACTCTTGGCCATCTACTATACATTCCAGAAAGTAATTTTGTTCAGTTTTCAAATTTTGAATCGAGAACTTAGTAAAAATATTTTTCAAAGCGTATCTTGGAATGGAAGTTGGCAGTTTGAAATTAGTGCTGTAAAGCTCAGGACAGCTGTTTTCCAAATGGCTAATGTCGACTTCTTGTTAGTCATTTCATATTGGTCGGTCAAAGTTCGCGAAAGGTCGTTTTGATGTGACCGGTAATGGGATGTACTCAGATATTTGTGTAGTGCCAGCGAGTACTAAGATTTGATTTTAATGAGATTGCAAATAGCAAGCACTGCAAACAGGATGCACAGTATCTAAAGCCTTTGTGAAAGGGAGGGTAGCTCTTGCAAAAGACAAATTACAGCAAAAAGGTTTAATTCAGTCATGACAAGCATCTTTTAGATAACAATACAAAGTGACATTCACGTAACTTAAGTAGTTTCTGAGGAAAATTGTCCCCACTGCAGCCACTGTGCACGAAATAAGATAACGTGGATCAAGGGCTGTAACTTTATGTTTTCCTGTAGCAATTTTTTAGCTTATTCTTGACAAGTGTCTCTTACAAGCATGCAAAATTTGTAGTTTCTCAGGAATCTTGTCTCCAGTGAACATGTTGAAGATAGGATACATAAAGTCTAAAAACATGTAGCATTTAGGGACATAACTCTGGAAAAGAATAATTTACAGCACCAATTTTCGAACTCAGTCTTGACAAGTATCTCTTTGATAAGTCTGCAAAGTGTCATTCATGTAACTTCAGTAGTTTCTGAGCAATCTTGTCCTTATTTCATGCAGTATGCACTATGTTGAAAAGCATGGAGCAAGGGCCTTAAATATCTCAAAAATAAATTTAAGACACCAATTTTCTGACTGATTTGAGATTGTGACCAGTGACATCAGAGTGTAACCTCAAACTGAAATAGTTTTTGAGAAAATTTGCTGGATGGGAGGACAAAGATAGATGGACATATGGAAGGATAGACAGGGGGATAGAAATAGAGCCAAAAGGCACTGTAGCTTCCTGAAATACGAAGAAATTGTAAATTTTACCAAAAAATTGTAGTAAACTACAACTAGTAAAACTGAATTAAGGATTGCAGTTCCACAACTATAGAGACCTTTCCGCCTTTGTAGTCGCGATGACGGAATTGATCAAGTAGCTCAGGTAGAACCCTTAAGCTTACATGATGAGGTGATGGAGGTATTTAGCAATTTGTTGTGGAGAAGCAGTAGCAGGTGTAGAAATACGATGCACATGACAGTAGGCCTCAAAAGCCTTCCACTTATGGTCATACAGGGACTTGGTTGACGATCTATGAGCCTCTGAAGTGGTCTTGGCAACCTTCTGGAGTAACCCTTGTGAACAAGTGATTTCTGTAAATGTGCCAGATGCACAAATTGAGGGTTTCGATTGACAAATGGAGCAGCTGAGAGTGTGGTTAAAGAAGGAGGTTGACCCTTAGTGGTAGATGATGAATTCTTCTGTCTGCAAGTTGGATGAGCGTGGTGAACCAACTCCGAATTGGCCAATAGGGCGCTACCAAAAGCAGTGTGAGGTGACTGGTGGATGTTATCTTCTGCAGGACCTGAGATACGAACCAGGATAGCTGAATGATGATGCGTGTTGCGAAAAAGATCGACGTTGGTACATAAGTAAATAACTGGCAAATTCATTTGAGGATCATTGGAAGTAGGCACCATTCCGTGGGAGACGGTTTGTCAGGTTGGGACAGGGAGTCGGCCATAACGTTGGAGATGCTGGTCATGTAGGAGAAGAATGCCTGGATCTTTGTTAGCCTGAATGCAGTCATCGATGTATGATTGGAAGAAGAAGACGTAGTAACTATGAGCAAGAAGATCCAAAATCAGACCTCAAAGTTTAATTTTTTAACTAGTAGCCATATGGCAAGGTAGCCATTTGGCAACCTCTAAATTTTAGTCAGGAGACAAATTGAAATTTAGGTCGCATTGGCAACCGTTTAAGTCGCAACTGAAAATGTAACCTTGTCCCGAATAAGACAGACAGCACCTCGATCGCAAGATTCCTCGGCAGAAGATGTGTTCAAGGTCTTTTGGGGGACTAAGATCATTGATCAAATGTGACATTGTCAGGCCGAAGAGGGAACGTCTAGTAGTCGTATACAGTTGTGCCAAGTTCTTATCTTGGTGGAACCAAAGTCTGAGGCTGCTTTGAGGTGGTCGGCTGTGTGGAGGTAGTCAGCTGCGTGCAGCTATCCTTCTTCTGTGTCTTCGAGGTAGACCTCGTGGACCCCTTCACGGACCCCTTCACTGATGATGCAGCAATTGGCTTCATGGTGGTGATCGACTTCACGTAGATGTGTTCCTTCTTCGTTGGAGACTGATGCTTCTTGATGAAGCAGAAGAACTCTTCTTCTTCACCAGGGACTGAAGATTCTTCTTTGGCTCAGCAAAAACAGAAGGAGACTTCATCTTCAATTTGGTTGAGCCCTTGAGAAGGTCGTCAACACTTCTGCTGCCCAGGGAAGAACATGTAGGGATGACTGATAAGGTCTCCAATGGAGGAAGATCTATAAGAACTTCCTCTGTAGAGTCACACTCCCTCTCTTCCTCTAAAGAAGGTGTATGGTGTTGTGTCCACTTTCATCTTGTTCAAAGAGGTCGTCTCCGATGAGGAGGATGCAGAACGAGATGATTCCCTCCTCCTATGGTCCATCTTCCTCCTGTGCACCACGAAGAGATATTGTGCTAGATAAATCTTCTTCCCCCTAAGGGGTGCAGAAACTACGCCTTGTCGCTGTAGTGCAGTGTTGAGGAATGCAGTCAAACAGATTGGGTGTGGATCTCGATCTCAAACACGCACATTACATATAGCACATGCTTTCATAGTGAAAACAGGGGTAAAATCAGGGGTCCGGAAACCGTCATATGCGCCGGACATGTCTGTTTGGGAATCTCAAATGTCCGGTTTAAAATATTGCTTACCGGACATTTAAATTTTTCTGCCTGGACATTTTAAAAAGTATTGTCCGGACATTCTTAAATTTTGACCGGACATGATCAACAGTTAGGACTGAGCAGTTTCTGTCTGCAGTTGTAACACAATGAAGATTATCTACACTGACAAGCTTTGTTTGTTTTGATTGCTGTAAATACATCGTACCTACATGATAGTCCAATCGGTCAATCACTGTAATAGGCAATAAAGTTGAATAAACTGAGTTGACACTGATTAATCGAGGCTTAATTACTGAGAACATCTTTTTACTTTGAGTGAAAGGTGTTTACAACTGTACATAAATACCTTGCATCATCGATGTACATCATTATCCTCACAATGCTAGATCTACGATACGTAACCTCAGACAAGAAGCGAAAGCTTGATGACAGCCAGTCGACTGATGCAGATCAGTCGAGCGGATCTGCCAAACCCTCAAAGTCTGGACGATCATTTTGTAAGTCGTGGCTAACGACTTGCACTTGGTTGACATACAATGAGGATTTGCAGATTTTATTGTTTTCAGTAGCTAGTCGTATATTGAATCTTGATTGACCGCCATTTTGCTTTCTGTGACGATCGATATCAAATTTTTTTATGGTCAATAATTAAGTACAGATGAAAAAAGTATTAAAATAACTATTACTATCAACGATATTTTAGTATTTGTGATTATATTATCTGTCTTCTTTTTAAATAATCTTTAGTTTAAAAAAAGACTTTTCCTGTGAGGTCACGTGATAACCAAATATGGGATAATAGTCTCGATCAAAATGTTACAACGCGTACACTTGAGCAGACTCATGAATATAACTCATGAACATTAATTAGACCGTTCACTACGTTAAGAGATCGTTATTATAACAGTAACAAACGTATGTTTCCATGTATATCTAAAATGATATTATTTGTTATTAATTGTCCGATGAATTAAACAATTTAAATTGAAACAATTCATAATTCATCATATTATGAATACGTAACAACTTGTAATGTGTGTGAAAAGTTGTACTAAATTACGCTATTTGAAAGGGGCGTGGCCTAAATGTAAATGTCCGATTGGGATTTTAAATTTTCCGGACCCCTGGGTAAAATGTTACATAATGTCAAAAGATATGTAAAACTTTAAGCCAAAGGTAAAAAATAATCATTACATATGAGAGTAAATGTGAAGAATGTAGTTCGAGCAATAAATTTATGAAAAAATGTTAATTTTGATAGGATGGCTCAGATTACAGAGATCAGAAATATAATTATAGAAAGTTTCCACTACCCTTCGGAAATGAGTTGAGATAAGCAATTACGTATGAGTTAGGATAAGGTAAAATCAAAATTTCCTTCCAAACAAACTTTTGAGGAGGAACAGACTGAGCCTAAACCTATATCCATGCCCCACTTTGTGATGGGAGATACTAAGGAGACATAGCAACTTAACATCCATGTAAAGAAAGAACCTGCACCTAGACTGTTTGTTTTTCCTTGGGTCTTCAGTTGAGAAGATGTGAACAGTTCCGTGATCACTTGAGACACACAGGAGGGAAGAGTCAGCATTGAAGTTGATGCTGCAACAAACAAGCATGCTTCAACACACCTACACACAGAACAGTAATGTACACATAGCAGCCTAGCTTGAATGTGTATCTTCTGAACAATATATCAACAGTACATAGGCACACTTGGAACCTGAAAACCGGATACAGAAAGCCATTCCTTGAAATGATAATGCACACAGTAGGTCGGCCATACTCACAGCAGATCGGCTATAATCACAGTGATGTAGTAGGTCGGCCATACTCACACTGATGTAGTAGGTCGGCCATACTCACAGCAGATCGGCTATAATCACACTGATGTAGTAGGTCGGCCATACTCACACTGATGTAGTAGGTCGGCCATACTCACAGCAGATTGGCTATAATCACAGTGATGTAGTAGGTCAGCCATACTCACAGCAGATCTGCTATAATCACACTGATGTAGCAGGTCGACCACACTCACACTGATGTAGTAGGTCAGCTATAATCACAGTGATGTAGTAGGTTGGCCATACTCACAGCAGATCGGCTATAATCACACTGATGTAGTAGGTCGGCCATACTCACACTGATGTAGTAGGTCGGCCATACTCACAGCAGATTGGCTATAATCACAGTGATGTAGTAGGTCCGCCATACTCACAGCAGATCTGCTATAATCACACTGATGTAGCAGGTCAGCTATAATCACAGTGATGTAGCAGGTCGTCGCTAATCACACTGATGTAGTAGATCGGCTATAATCACAATGATGTAGCAGGTCAGCTATAATCACAGTGATGTAGAAGTTCAGCTATAATCACAGTGATGTAACAGGTCGACTTTAATCTCACTGATGTAACAGGTCAGCTATAATCACACTGATGTAGCAGGTAGGCTATAATCACAGTGATGTAACAGGTCAGCTATAATCACAGTGATGTAGCAGGTCGGCTATAATCACAGTGATGTAGCAGGTCGGCTATAATCACAGTGATGGTAGCAGGTCAGCTATAATCACACTGATGTAGCAGGTTGGCTATAATCACAGTGATTGTAGCAGATCAGCTATAATCACAGTGATGTAGCAGGTCAGCTATAATCACACTGATGTAGCAGGTCGGCTATAATCACAGTGATGGTAGCAGGTCGGCTATAATCACAGTGATGTAGCAGGTCAGTTATAATCACAGTGATGAAGCAGGTAGGCTATAATCACAGTGATTGTAGCAGATCAGCTATAATCACAGTGATGTAGCAGGTCAGCTATAATCACACTGATGTAGCAGGTTGGCTATAATCACAGTGATGGTAGCAGGTCGGCTATAATCACAGTGATGTAGCAGGTCAGCTATAATCACAGTGATGAAGCAGGTCGGCTATAATCACAGTGATGTAGCAGGTCGGCTATAATCACAGTGATGTAGCAGGTCGGCTATAATCACAGTGATGAAGCAGGTCGGCTATAATCACAGTGATGTAGCAGGTCGGCTATAATCACAGTGATGAACCAGGTCGGCGATAATCACACTGATGTAGCAGGTCTGCTATAATCACAGTGATGTAGCAGGTCAACTATAATCACAGTGATGTAGCAGGTAGGCTTTAATCACACTGATGTAGCAGGTAGGCTATAGTCACAGTGATGTAGCAGGTAGGCTATAATCACAGTGATGGTAGCAGGTCAGCTATAATCAAAATGATGTAGCAGGTTGGCTATAATCACAGTGATGTAACAGGTTGGCTATAATCACAGTGATGTAGCAGGTCAGCTATTATCACACTGATGTAGCAGGTAGGCTATAATCATAGTGATGTAGCAGGTCAGCTATTATCACACTGATGTAGCAGGTAGGCTATAATCACACTGATGTAGCAGTTAGGCTATAATCACACTGATGTAGCAGTTAGGCTATAATCACAGTGATGTAACAGGTCAGCTATAATCACAGTGATGTAGCAGGTCAGCTATAATCACAGTGATGGTAGCAGGTCAGCTATAATCAAAATGATGTAGCAGGTAGGCTATAATCACAGTGATGTAGCAGGTCGACTATAATAACAGTGATGTAGCAGGTCAGCTATAATCACAGTGATGGTAGCAGGTTGGCTATAATCACACTGATGTAGCAGGTCGGCTATAATCACACTGATGTAGCAGGTCGGCTATAATCACAGTGATGTAGCAGGTAGGCTATAGTCACAGTGATGTAGCAGGTCGGCTATAATCACACTGATGTAGCAGGTCGGCTATAATCACAGTGATGGTAGCAGGTCAGCTATAATCACAGTGATGGTAGCAGGTCAGCTATAATCACACTGATGTAGCAGGTCAGCTATAATCACAGTGATGTAGCAGGTAGGCTATAGTCACAGTGATGTAGCAGGTAGGCTATAATCACAGTGATGTAGCAGGTCAGCTATAATCACAGTGATGTAACAGGTTGGCTATAATCACAGTGATGTAGCAGGTCAGCTATAATCACAGTGATGTAGCAGGTCGGCTATAATCACAGTGATGTAACAGGTTGGCTATAATCACAGTGATGTAACAGGTCAGCTATTATCACACTGATGTAGCAGGTAGGCTATAATCACAGTGATGTAGCAGGTCAGCTATCATCACACTGATGTAGCAGGTCGGCTATAATCACACTGATGTAGCAGGTTGGCTATCATCACACTGATGTAACAGGTAGGCTATAATCACAGTGATGTAGCAGGTCAGCTATAATCACAGTGATGTAGCAGGTCAGCTATAATCACACTGATGTAGCAGGTTGGCTATCATCACACTGATGTAACAGGTCGGCTATAATCACACTGATGTAGCAGGTTGGCTATAATCACACTGATGTAACAGGTTAGCTATAATCACACTGATGTAACAGGTTAGCTATAATCACACTGATGAACAGTGATACAGTAGATAGGTTACGTTTCAGTGATGTAGTAGCTAGGTTACGTTTCAGTGATGTAGTAGCTAGGTTACGTTTCAGTGATGTAGTAGCTAGGTTACGTTTCAGTGATGTAGTAGCTAGGTTACGTTTCAGTGATGTAGTAGCTAGGTTACGTTTCAGTGATGTAGTAGCTAGGTTACATTACAGTGATGTAGTAGCTAGGTTACGTTTCAGTGATGTAGTAGCTAGGTTACGTTTCAGTGATGTAGTAGCTAGGTTACATTACAGTGATGTAGTTGCTAGGTTACATTACAGTGATGTAGTAGCTAGGTTACATTACAGTGATGTAGTAGCTAGGTTACACTACAGTGATGTAGTAGCTAGGTTACATTTCGGTGATGTAGTAGCTAGGTTACATTACAGTGAAGTAGTTGCTAGGTTACATTACAGTGATGTAGTAGCTAGGTTACATTACAGTGATGTAGTTGCTAGGTTACATTACAGTGATGTAGTTGCAAGGGTACATTACAGTGATGTAGTAGCTAGGTTACGTTTCAGTGAGGTAGTGTCTAGGTTACGTTTCAGTGATGTAGTAGCTAGGTTATATTACAGTGATGTAGTATCTAGGTTACGTTTCAGTGATGTTGTCGCTAGCTTACTTTACAGTGATGTAGTAGCTAGCTTACATTATGGTGACGTAGTCGGTCAGTTACATTATAATGATGTTGTAGCTAGCTTACATTACAGTGATGCAGTAGCCGGGTTACATTTCAGTGATGTAGTAGCTAGGTTACACTACAGTGATGTAGTAGCTAGGTTATATTACAGTGATGTAGTAGCTAGGTTATATTACAGTAACGTAGTAGGTCAGTTACACTACAGTGATGTAGTAGCTAGGTTACATTACAGTGATGTAGTAGCTAGGTTATATTACATTGATGTTGTTGCTAGGTTACATTACATTGATGTTGTTGCTAGGTTACATTACAGTGATGTTGTTCCTAGGTTACATTACAGTGATGTAGTAGCAAGGTTACATTACAGTGAAGTAGTAGGTCAGTTACACTACAGTGATGTAGTAGCTAGGTAATATTACGTTGATGTAGTAAGTTGGTAACACTACAGAGATGTTTTTGCTAGGATACATTGCAGTGATGTAGTAAGTTGGTTACACTACAGTGATGTAGGGCTATTAAGTGATATGATGTAGAAGGTCAGTTATATTGCAGTGATGTTGTAGGTCAGTTATATTTAGGTGATGTTGTATGTAGGTTACACTACAATGATGAAGTAGCTAGGTGACACAACAGTGATGTAGGGCTATTAAGTGATATGATGTAGAAGGTCAGTTATATTGCAGTGATGTAGTAGGTCAGTTATATTTAGGTGATGTTGTATGTAGGTTACACTACAATGATGAAGTAGCTAGGTGACACAACAGTGATGTAGGGCTATTAAGTGATATGATGCAGTACGTAGGTTACATTAGAGTGACGTAGCTAGGTTACACTACAGTGATGTAGCATGTAGGTTACATGACAGTGATGTAGCATGTAGGTTACATGACAGTGATGTAGCATGTAGGTTACATGACAGTGATGTAGCATGTAGGTTACATGACAGTGATGTAGCATGTAGGTTACATGACAGCGATGTAGCATGTAGGTTACATGACAGTGATGTAGCATGTAGGTTACATGACAATGATGTAGCATGTAGGTTACATGACAGTGATGTAGCATGTAGGTTACATGACAGTGATGTAGCATGTAGGTTACATGACAGCGATGTAGCATGTAGGTTACATGACAGCGATGTAGCATGTAGGTTACATGACAGTGATGTAGCATGTAGGTTACATGACAGTGATGTAGCATGTAGGTTACATGACAGCGATGTAGCATGTAGGTTACATGACAGTGATGTAGCATGTAGGTTACATGACAGTGATGTAGCATGTAGGTTACATGACAGCGATGTAGCATGTAGGTTACATGACAGTGATGTAGCATGTAGGTTACATGACAGTGATGTAGCATGTAGGTTACATGACAGTGATGTAGCATGTAGCAACGTCGTGTCCAAGATTATTGCACTTAAATAGCGACGTGCATGCACGTGTGTGTGTGGCTGCTTGTACTAGTCTGGACTGATGCCGATTTATAGTGCTAGCTCACTGAGATACCATGCCGCAGTTTAACATGAATACCCCACTCAGACACAGTGGACTGGTCGGCTCGGAGTCAGTATACTGACTCCGAGCCGACCAGTCCTTGTTTTAGCCCCTTAATGCCAAGCGCCAGACAGGGTAACAACAAGTACCATCTTTTAACGTCTTTTGGTATGACGCGGTCAGGGATCGAACCCCGGACCTTCCGCTCTCCGGGCAGACGCTCTACCACTAGACCATGGAGGCGGTCCTACATGATAGTGATGTAGTATGTAGGTTACATGACAGTGATGTAGTAGCTAGGTTACACTACAGTGATGTGGTATGTAGGTTACATGACAGTGATGTAGTAGGATGGTCAAACATAGAACTCTTACCAGTAGATATTTGCGCTGTTTGTTCCACGTCGCAGCTCATGCAGTCTAGCTCCAGTATTTGTGTCAAACACCCGTATTAAAGTTCCCTAAAAATGCAATGCATCATCTAAAGTTATAATAATCTCTGATGTTACTGTTGACATTTATTCAACCTGTCAATTCTGTACACATCTTCCATTATATTAACAGCTTGCTGCCATGAACCTACCTTCTCGGAGGCTGTGGCAAGTCGTGTACCCTGAGTGTTCATGGACATACAGCCAAGGTTCGCCTCATGGGCAGCTATATCCACTGGAGGTTTCTCAGTCTCAGCAAGATCAATTATTTGCACATGGCCAACTTTTCTCCCGGGGAAAGACAGTAGAGAGTTATTGCTGTTGGGACACATCACACACAGACCTTAACCGAACAAGAAGAAGACAGATCAGGTTGGATCAAACAGAAGAAGACAGTGAAATTATTCCATAATGGTAATTGACTAACAAAACTCCATGTAAAAGTAGAAAGGTAAGGTTATGAACTGTGACAAGATGTATCGACCCACCTTTAGGGTTATGTCCTGTCTCAAACACATGCAGCTGCTGGGGATTCTGGGTGAACGTGTACACTTTGATCATTGTGTCCAGCACAGCAACAATTCTGTAACCATGGTAACATGAAACATCTCCTCACTCTTCAGTGGATAACACCACTCATCATTAGCATCAAAAAATATAGAGAGAGATTATTACATGAATGTCTGCCATACTGAGAAACAAAAGGCATGAGTTGAAGCATTTGACACAGGTTTCATAATAAGTCCTAGCAGAGACCATATAATAGAGGGACGGTCCTCTAGCCTATGCGCAAAACCATCAGTGCTACGGCTTGTACTGTGCAACCTGTCTGGAAGCGAGCAGAAACGCGTTCACTGCAGTCATCGTTGTCGCCTTTTTTTTCCATCAGTAGCAGTAGCCGGGTTACATTACAGTGATGTTGTTGCTCGGTTACATTGCAGTGATGTTGTTGCTCGGTTACATTACAGTGATGTTGATCCTAGGTTACATTACAGTGATATAGTAGCTAGGTTACAGACGAATGTGTTCCTATTGTCGGTACTGAAATAAATATTTTTACATTCATCACGATTCCTCCTTTTGCGTGGAACCAAAGTTATTTAGGTACGATCGGTAGTTTTTTTGTATGATTTTTGGCGCAAAGCCATAATTTACGTCATATATTTTCAGTAAAATTACCATATAGCAGACGACATAACATGCATTTTGTCTGTGATTATCGTCCGCATATATCTTTTGAAACATTCTACAAAGTGACTTATATTGTATGATATTAGAATTGTTTTTGTGGGACACATATTTGTTTTTACCATTGTTTTCGCCATTTCTTCGAAAGTTTAACATACCTATTAACTTTGTTTCAGTTAGGCTTCTATCACATATAGAAGATTACTACATATTTGTAGAATTTTCCTATTCGGAATATTCTATAAGTAATACATTACCACTGTTATACCGAGGCTGTTGTCCCCCACAACTGCTCTTATAGCGAAATCTTCCACAGAGATCTCATTTACCTCATGCAGCACGTGCGTAGCCACCTAGCTGCCATGTGACACCCTTCACTCTTGTCTCTTGCGAGAGCAAGTGCTCGGGGGACTGACGGGCGGGCAGCAGCCCAGTGGTAACGTATTACTTATAGAATATTCCGAATAGGAAAATTCTACAAATTACATTAAGTAATACGTTACCACTGTTATACCGAGGCTGACTACCACAGTAGGCGGTGGGGAGCACCTACAACCCGAACATGACTGCTCGTGTTCCTTCCGGCCAGCGGAAGTAAACAACAAGGCGGAAGCACTCGATGCGCATGCTCCCAGCTTGGCGTTACCTTATAGGGATACCAAAGCACTGTCAAGCGCATACCGTAAGGCTCAATCGTCATTGCCAAAACGATTGGTGACTCCAAACGGCCCCACTGGATAGGTATTTCATCGCCGCAGCGGATGAAAACACAGTATCCGTGTGAGCTAAATCTTAGATCAGGTTAAACAGTCGAAAAGAGGGAAATTAATTTCATTCGGACCGTATATCCCGAGAACAAGCCTACTTAAGCGTGTGTAATAGCCGCGTGACCTAATTCAATATTGGAAAGCATGCATTACAAGGTTGCAATACACGACAGACAATTAGGTTAATAATTGTCAAATCCAAATAAAGAAACACACAGAAAGCCGCACTCACCTGTGGATAAGCCTGCTGGCTTGTGGGACCCCCACTCCCATACCCACAGCTGTGGGAACGGTGGAGTAGACCCAGATTGACCACCGTGCAAGGTCTGAAGCCTGAGGAGTTCGGAATTGCGCCGGGCACACCCCTTAAATGACCGCTTGTGCCACGATCAGCGGCCGAAGAAGGTGCACACCCTCCACCTCTTCATCAGAGACCCGTCTGAGGTAATGATTGGCAAAAACCGAGTCAGAACGCCAGTAACAACCCCGCAATATTCTGTGAACAGATATATGTAGTGTAGTGCAAATGTTGCCGCTAGCGCCCTAATCTCGTGCGGGTTTGACCCCGCTACCGGTAACCCCCGAGACCGATACGCCAGATTGATGACAGAACGAAGCCATAACGCAATCGAGTTGCGAGTTATGTCAACCGTGCGATTAGGGTTACACGATATGAACAGACGGTCACGCCCTTGTCTGCGTTCATTCGAAGCCTTAAGATAATACTTAAGGGCCCTAACCGGACACAGCGATCTGTCCTCGGTATCAGCAGGAGGTAAGATTTCTTTGAAGGATCTTACAGTGAATTCTCTCTCCGTTTGGCCAAATTTCTGATTCTTAGCGACGAAGCCCATGAGCAAGCCCAAGCGGACCGCTCCTTCGTCGCCCCTATCGAATCGTACTTTGGTGACATCGAGTGCGTGTATTTCCGACACTCGTGCCGCCGTGGCAAAGGAGAGAAGAAATGCTGTTTTCCAAGTCACATGCCTGAACGAAGCACTACCCAAGGGTTCATACGGAGCCTCCGTAAGTGATTGTAACACTAAGGAGAGATCCCAGGTCGGTGCCCGAAGGCGGCCCTTTTTAAGATCTTGCTGTTTGAAACCCTTGATAAACCCTGAATCACCGGCTCTTTTGAGAGACTGGTACCCATAGCAACGTCCCGTACCGTAGCAACGGACGAGACATAGTTGGCAATGGAACCCCCGGAGAGTTTCCGGGTCTCTCGTAAGCGAGACATGAAACGAGCAATATCCTGCACAGATACCTTATCTGGCGAATGAATGTGATGTTTGCAACACCACTTCGTGAAAATAGCCCAACGTGCATTATACACCTGGGTAGAATCACGATGCATACTAACGTATGCCTGAGACGCCCGACGAGAAAAACCTTTACTCCTCAGACGCTCGGTGACAACATCCACGCATGCAGATTGAACTGCCCTGCGTTTGGATGAAGCTGACGGGTGTGAGGGTGGATCAGCAGATCCGGTCTCACAGGCAGTGGAAGTGGCGACTGCGTGGCCTGGGCCAGCAAGTCGGGGTACCATGATCTGTTTGGCCACATGGGCGCGATCAGTAACATTCGACAGCGAACTCCTTGGAGCCGGCTTAGAATGAGTGGTATTAACGCCATCGGCGGGTAAGCATAAGCGTCCATGCCTGTCCAGTCTAACGCGAGAGCATCGTGATCGATGACCCTCGGGTCCGGGACTGGTGATACAAACAACGGGAGTTGATTGTTGAACCTGGTTGCGAACAGGTCGACCATCGGACGACCCAAACGTTCGCACAGCCACTGAAACACCACTGGGTTTAGCATCCACTCCGTGGGGCTCGGATCCCAAGGCCTCGATAGAGCGTCGGCCAGTACATTCGGCACACCTGGGATGTGACGGGCGCGTACCTGGCACGGGACACTGTCCACCAGAGCGTAAAACTCGAACGCGAGATCGAGTAGGGAGTGACTGTGGGTTCCCCCCAGTTTGTTCACATAGGACGCTACCGTCGTGTTGTCGGTCGCCAGCATGAGCCGGGCGTCGACGAGACGATGCTTCCAGTGATTGACTGCGTTTATCACTGCCTTGAACTCGAGGCAATTGATGTGAAGACCTTGTTCGTCTACGCACCACAGCCCCGAGCTCCCCTCCCCCTCTAGATGGGCGCCCCAGCCCACTAGTGAGCGTCTGTATACAGGTTCAACGTGGCGTGGAAGGGCCGCATAGAGACACCTGATAAGACGTTGCAAGGGACCGTCCACCACTCCAGATGCGGTCGGAGCCGATCCGGGAGGGCAACGGTCGCACTGTTCTCCTCCTGTGCTAACAACTGGATTAGAAACCATTGCAGCAGGCGGAGTTGGAGACGACCCCAATCGGTGCAGTCCTGGGCTGACACAAGTAGCCCTAACAGCTGTTCCCAAAAGTGAACAGTCTGTTGCACCGCTAAGACTTTGGCAATCATCACCTGAATCTTGTGCCACCGGTCTTGGGGGACAAAGAGGCGATGGACCTCCGATGAACTGCAAGTTCTGTGAGGGGGTTAACTCGCTCTTGGGGAGATTGATAATCCACCCCAATTGCTCCAAGAGCCGACGTGCGAAATCGAGATGGCGTGACAGGGCGTCCGTCATTCGATTGGCCACTAGCGAGTCGTCCAGGTACGCGAAGTACCTGATACCCCTCTTGTGGAGGAACCCCACCATGGGGGTGGTTAACCGGGTGAACAGCCAGGGAGCGGACGAAAGACTGAATGGGAGTACAACCCACTCGTAGTGCCTGCCTTGAAAGACAAACCTGAGATACTTGTGATGATCCGAGTGAATCGGAACATGCAGATAAGCATCCTTCAGGTCGATCGAAGCGAGCCAGTCAGCCGGCATGATCAGAGCTTTCAGGTCCGCCAAGGTCAACATTCTGAACTTGGGCGGCTTGTGCAGGTAAAACTCGTTGAACGATTCCGCACTGTCTTTCTTGGGAACAAGAAATATCCTGGAGTAAAACCCCGGTGTTATTTCTGGTAGGACTAACTCCCATACCCGTACCGCCCTCTTCTCCACCAAACTGCCGATGGCATCGGCGAGGATGGGACGATCGGCTTCCGAATAGAAACCTTCCAACGGGGCGACGGTGAGTGGCGCATCCGCTTTGAGATCTAGCCGATAGCCCTACCGAATCGTGTTGACCACCCACGGGTCGTCGAACACTTGTTCCCAATTCTCCCAGTAAGTCCCAGATGCAACTGTCCAGGGCTGAATGACTCGGGTTCGCCTACGGGCCAACCGAAGCTTGCGCTGTTGGCACACGAACCCTGCAAGAGAGAGTCATTTGGAGGAGCCCTTACCGTCACGAGACGGCTTAGGCTTCCCCCAGTGTCCCTTCTTCCCCCGAAAGGGCGGCAAGTTGCCCTTACCGGGGCCCTCAGAGCGGAACCTCTTCCCGGAGGAAGAAGACACCGACCCCTTGGACTTCCCGGGCGCAGCATCCTGAGGGGCGCTCCATTTAGGGGCACCACCCAGGCGTCTGTGGAGAGACCCAACCAGATCCAACATATGTTGCGAAGCCGCGGCAGACGAAGCAGACTGCTGTTCTTTTAGAACACCAGGGATCCAATTATTAAATAGGGTCTGCGCAGACCAAGGCTGTGAAAGTAACACCTCCTGGTTGGCGGCGTCCAACCCAGAAGAGGCAAGGTACGCTTGCCGCCTCAAAAAATGGCACGTGCCGGAAAGAAAGGCCGAAGCCCCGGCAAGGTACTCAAGGGTTGCATTCAAACCGATCAAACAGTTGTAAATGCGCTGGTGGGGGAACCTTCGACCAGACTGGCCGCCGCCACCAAGTAGGTGTCGCCATGTGACATAGCGAGCATGGAGTGCCGAGAGAGGGTGTCCATCTGCTGTAAAGTCGCTTGAGTGATTGTAGCAGCAGGGTGGGGCACAGACACCCAACCTCTGCACATGGGCCTCCGCGGTGGGCCTTGATTCTGGGAAGGCCAAGTCATGCACCGGGAACGAACCCTTTCTCCACGACGGAGGAGGTAACGGGAGTCCCCGACCGGAGGCCGCCGTGAAGGCTTTCTCCAGAGACGGCTTGATCCCGCTCAACAAAGTTGACGCAGGAAAAGCCTTGTCGGCGGACTCGTCGAAAACCTCGGAGGAACCCACCGAGCCGTGGATTCCCCGGGGTACCGGCTGGGGCCGTGGCATGTCCTCAAAGAGGTCATACACCATGGCCACACGGTCCTTAGTAGATAACGGGAGTATCGGCTCGGGGGAAGGACCGGTGACTACGGCAACCGCCGCCGTACCCGTAGACCCCGTGTCCGAACCCGCAGCCACCGAAGGGGCCGGGGACGGAACAACCAGGGCCTTATCCTGAGATAATGCCACCAGTTTGGAGTCCACCAATTGCGACAACAAAGCCGCGACGGAAACCCCGGACAGCCCAAGGGCCGCCAAGGGATCCGCCGCCGAGGAGGTAGTGCCCGCAATGGGCGCCCGACCGGACGAACCGGCCAACTCAGGGGTGATAGCAGAACGCACGTAGCACCTGTATCGCGCAAAATCCTCAGGCCCCAGACCCTTGCACAGGGTGCACCGGGTGTCCTCGCAAGGGACCCGGCACCGCGGGCATCGATCGTGGGGATCCCGGGACGACAAAAACTTCTGACAAGCGCCGCAGCGCCTGGCAGCAGGAGTAGTCGGGGTGCTGGACAAATCCAATTCCATGTCAGAAATTGTTCTTTGAACAAAAAGCAAAACATGGTTACAACACACACACCAAACATATTCACAAACGTAGATTTTCCGAAGAAAAACAAATGATAATAGCGAATACATAAAATACATATATTATAGATATATATATATATATCATGATAGGTGATGCAAAAAAAACCCCCACAATATACCACTAAAGGTAGACGGAAAACACAAAGTGCCGCCGCCACCCCCCCGTTAGTAGCGAAAAAAGGCGCGAAATTTAGGCGGGAAAATTTTCTAGGCGCTGTATAACGAACGCCCCGTATATTACAGTTCACTTAGGACTAAGAAACAGTAATAAATATCACCAAGGATAGCAGGAGGCTGGTAGAACGCAGAGCAGTCTATGGATACGTCTTGCGAAGGCAAGCGAAGAGACAAGAGTGAAGGGTGTCACATGGCAGCTAGGTGGCTACGCACGTGCTGCATGAGGTAATTGAGATCTCTGTGGAAGATTTCGCTATAAGAGCAGTTGTGGGGGACAACAGCCTCGGTATAACAGTGGTAACGTATTACTTAATGTAATTTTGACGATGATTTATATTTGTTATCTTCTGTAGATTTTGTCTTTATTAATCATGACTACATTTAATCTATTTTATATTTTATGCCGTGTAAAAATTGATTACGAGCCATATGATCTGGGCCTAAACCCAATCATAATAATGTAAATATGATGAAGGTACTACTTACTTTGTTACTTACACAACAGTGAGTGAGTGAGTGAGTGAGTGAGTGAGTGAGTGAGTGAGTGAGTATGGTTTAACGCCGCTCTTAGCAATATTCACGCAATATCACGGCTGGGGACACCAGAAATGGGCTTCACACATTGTACCCATGTCGGGAATCGAACCCGGGTCTTCTGTGTTACACAACAATGAAAACATCATACAAAAATAAAGATCCGTTTTATGAAATATTTGTATTATAAAATTATCATTTGCTTTGTAAATGCCAAGAAAGAAGAAGGATGATATCGACAGTCGCCTGGAGAGAAGTTCGAGACAACAAGGTCGAAGGTGTCATTCAGTAAAATAAATAGATGGTCTACTGTCCTTTTCTATGATAAATACATCTACATATGTCAGAGTTTGTGATGTTTTGTTTTATTTTAATAGTAACATTTGCATGCCTCGTTCCAGGTTAGAGTTTAAAGTTTGTTTTTCTTTGATCAGATGTAAACAGAAAACCATGATGAAACAATTTGGAAAACTACAAACGTTACTACAGTTTACGATATACTAGTATATATCTGGTACCATGCTCGTTGAAGCTATATTGTTATACCTGAAATACCTAATTATTTGAATGCTGAAAAATATCAAACTAATCGGGTAATATTAAATAAGGACTGTAAAATTACAATCGCCCTCTTTGCTTTGGAATTTAACAGTAGCCTCCCTTTGAAAAAATATCTTGTTCCAGCAAACCCCATTATCACTGCTAGCCCCAAACTTGCATTAACCAATAACATTTGATTACTTGCGAAGCCCATTGTCGGACACATCGAAAATTCATTTAACAACGCTCGTAGTTTAATGTGTATTTTTAATTCACTGGAACTATTAGCATTATAAAATAGTAGCGAATTTACATGAAATAAAAACATTAATATGGCATCATTTTTTTCTGGCTAACATTAAAGCATTTACACCAGCCGGTGACCATGCATTTTTGCAAGTAAATCTAGCCTGGATTTATTATAAGATATGAAGTTAATCTGGAGATATATTTTGTGAACATCGTGAATATGGTGATATGTTACAAGTGTCTTCATTGCTACTTGATGAGTTTTATTTACACTCCCTGAGTTCCTGTGCAATTTACCGGATCGTAGTTTTCTGTGTCGTTCGTAGTAGATTTGGTATATTTGTCTATTTATAATAGTTAACAGTTGCAGCATAAAATGAGATATATTAACTGATTTTAAAACAAATAGAATACGTTATAAAATAATTTTGATATCGGAACGGCTTTTTCTTCCCACGCCCTCGAAAACCTACGCTCGTAGACTGACGTCATATTTTCATTTCCTATCTTTTACTGTGAGTGAAACTTTTTGAGAGGTATTACCGACGGCTTTGTTGCGGTAATGTCGCGGTCATTCTATTCAGACCAAGGGTCATCTGAAACAAACCCCTGGTCGTAGAGTGGGAATTCTTCAAGTGGCATATCTAGGTCCAAGACGAAATCATCCCAGTGAATGAAGTCGTCCATGACTGTGGCAAATGTAAATTGAAATAAATGTCCCGGAAGACACACATGTTCAGCAAATAATTTGCAGCCAACTGACATGTGCTAATGAGAGATATGAAAAAAAATCTTTGTAATCCGCTAAGAGATGTCCTTTTATTGGATTGTCGCTGGTCGTAGTCGGAGAAATCTCGACAAAGGGAATTAACTCTAGCCCCAGATATTAAGTAATATTGTTTACGTGGTTACCAGAATGGTCAGTCGTGAATGTCTGCGCATCTATCGCGCATCTGCAGTGGTACAGGGAGGTTAACAGCAGGGTGTCAGGGTGTATCAGTTACATGCCCGATCGTAACGCTGATGGTTTATGATAAACTGTTGGGGAGGGCCGTCCCTCTATTATGTGGTCTCTGGTCCTAGTAACACACTGTGACCACTCGATCCTCAATTTAGTTGACTGGCATGACATGACATGACACATATCTCCTATGGGCTTCCTGAATAACGATATGATTGCCTGCATTCAATGAGTGGTTTTATGGAATACAAGGTATGACTGACCTATCTCTGCGTAACTTGACACCTCGGACATCAGTAGAGAACTCCAGCTCGATGACATGTTTCTTTTTTAGGTCATCCCACACCATCACTAGACAAACAACATGGGGTGGTCAAGCGCAACTAACTTCCATGGTGGATACTCTTTAGCAACATGTACAGTTACCACATTCTAGTTGCCAGAATACAATACAGTGGACTAAACCAGCAGCTGAGTACTCCGTCACTCCCTATAAATCGGCATTTATTTACTGTTTATAAAGCTTGGTTAAAGACACTATTATTTAAACTTTGAGTACACCGGCATCAGGCACTGAGTGTTAGTCCCAATCTCCAATGTCCTCTCTTAATACCAATAATGTTTGCTGACGAGATGATAGGAGGACTACTGTGACAACAGCTGTCAGCAACCCTCTGAACATGGCGGGATTGCAATGTTGATCTAGCAAGTTAACTGTTACTGTTAATTAAGAAAACTGGAATTGGTAAATGAGTCAGTGTGCGACAACTATTTAAAAACTTCTTTGAGAGGTATTTAGAAGTTGGAGTACTAAGTAAGGATAAGATATATTGATGAACAACTTCTTTATTACAATTAGGAGCGATGTTTCGGTGTAGGTTCTAACACCGTTATCAAGCAAGTGATGTACAGAGAATGGTTGACAAATGTATATACAGGATAGGAGGCAGTGTTTATACAGTTGAGTAGGTTTAAGATGCAGTTACACTGGAGTGGAGAAACCTTTTATGTACAGAGAAGGGTAAAACAAATTGGCCGGTGAAGGGCTGTAATATAAAAGGGTGAAGACAGTAAATAAACAACAAAAGGAGTATGACTGATTGTGGTCATTAAAGAGTTGGTGGTACGCCAGTGGTATGTAGTAGCCTTGGTCACGGTTGATTGATGGTTGGAGTCTTTTTATGTTGATGGCTTCTTGTAGTTTTCTGATTTTGAAGTCTTTGAGGTTGATGGTGAGGGCTTTGACTTTGTCCCACTGGATCCTGTGGCTTAAATTGGGTTGTCATGGATATGGTCTAATAGAGCTGATTTAGGGTCCTTTTTGGAGACTGAACATTTGATGTTCCTTAATTCAGGTTTTTAGGGGCCTATATATGTGTTGCCAATATAAGCTTGTCCACAATTGCACGACATGTGGTACACTGCTCCTGAAGGTTCTAGCTTGTGGCTGGATGGTGGTTTTCCTGTGGCTTTAATTGTGTTATGAATCATTTAGATTGTGCCATCAAAGTTCAGTGTGGGTTCACCAGACGCAACATTCTATGGGGGTGTTGTCAAATCTCTACTCAGATAGATATCGTATTGGAATTAAAGATTTGATTTAAATCAAATTTGCCAAAATGTTTAATTTCTACGATCAGCGACACTTAGGGCTTTTCCCCCACATTAAGCTTACAGACTGATACACTTGAAAGACTTGTACTGTACTGAACCAAACTTGTGTGCCGATGCTGAATCATAATAGATGTCATATAAAAGGAGTTTAATAGTCTTTGACGCTTTCTCCTTGATGCACTCTGTCTTGTTCATCAATAATGCTGCTGGTTTAGACAGACTCCAATGTATTTCACTGATTCAAAATAATGGAACAAATGGAAATTACTAGTTACATAAGGATATCTCTAACAGATGATTAGTTAAGGTAATACTTGCATACATGTATAAACAAAAATTAAACTGATGTGATGACTTATACATACCTTTATTTGGTGGATACTTTGGATTTTTACCTCCACCGACAAGAGCAAGATAATTACACCGAAACAACATCTCTATCAGAGCAACACCTCCATCGGCAAAATCTACAGAAAAAGAATGTGGAATAACATCGATAGTTAACATGATCTAAAAGTATAAAAATCTTATAATTTATTGTGTGAGAGCTATTGGTACGAGACTATCTCGTGCAGACTCAGGGGCTTGAGAGTATAGCTCTCTCTACTATACAGTCAAGTCCCTTTAATCCAACACTCGTTAATCCAACAATCAGCTTTATCCGACACTAATGAACTGATTTAATCAGTGCATCTAGACCCGTTAATCAGACAATTTCGCACTCCAACTCTGACACACCTTATTTGCAACAAATTACCAAAATCAGTCATTAATCAGTCTCGTTAATCCATCACAGTGATCAGCGCTCTCAGTGATCATTTGCCCACGAGTACACCGCCCCGTGTTTTGGATGCGAGACGAGTCGGCTGAAAGCTGCATATTTCAATGGCTGCAGAGATAAACTTGCTTAACAATAAACAACAAGAGTTTGCCACTAACGTGGCTATATCCCCCATCCCTGTTGCAGAATTTATGACATAATTAAATCTAAACAAACCCTAACCTTTTTTAACCGAGGTGGAATTTGTCATGGAAATTGTATAAAAAAAAAAAGAGTTGGAACCTAAGTCCATCTTGTTGCCATGAAAACGTAAAAAATCAAAATTTCTAACATTTCTAAATAGCAAAAGGCACCAGTTCAGCATGTACCTGACAGACCTGCAAAGTTTCATGAAAAAATATTGAACGGTTTATGAGTCATGCTCAGGAAACGAACCCTACCCTCACAGAACCTAAGTCCATCTTGTTGCCATGGAAACGTAAAAAATCAAAATTTCTAAAATTTCTAAAGAGCAAAAGGCAACAGTTCAGGATGTACTTGACAGACCTGCAAAGTTTCATGAAAAAATATTGAACGGTTTCTGAGTTATGCTCAAGAAACAAAACGTGATGGACGGACGGAGCCTGTTTCTATATCCCCACCAACTTTGTTAGTCAGGGGATAATTAATGCTTTAAATAAACAAAACAGGATTAATCACTTGCTTAGATTACCTTAATCTCATTAAAATCATATTCAAGTTCTCGCTGAGGACATCCAATTACAGGTCAAGTCAGAACGACCTTTCGCAAACTATGACCGACCAATGAAAAGACTAACAGGAGGTTGACATTAGCCACTAAGAAAGGAGCTTTCTTGAGATTTGTGGCACCAGTTTCAAACTGGTGACTTCCATTCCACACTATTCTTTTTAAAGTATTTTGAATCAGTCGTACAGTCCGTAACAGTTGTTTTGTGTTAAGCTTCAGAGGTTGCATGTTTAGAAAACATATTCCACTAACAATGTAACATAACAATATGAATATTGCATTTTCATATTTTTGTAACATGTTTGTATCGTTATCTATCGTAGTTGTTTGATTTTTATCGCAAAGGTTGATATCACTTAATTTCATTTATCCGACATACTCGTTAATCTGACATATTCATATGCAACCAACCATGTCAGATTAACTGAACTTGACTTTATATAGATGCATGCCTGATCGCATCACTCAGTGTGTGAACACTGACTTGATGATGTATGTGTGATGTATGGGGGAATAAACTATATGTTTATCAAGACATGTTTCTGTTCATTGTGAAGAGTTGAAACAGATTTAATATATATACACATCTTGTTCAGCATGCACAATTCATTTGTTACATCTAACTTTCACTGATGTATTTATTGTAATATGTCTTATGTGTAATGAGGAGGTATTACATAAGCTCTTCGCTTGTTTACCAATCCATTTTCACACTTTTGTGAAAATAAATATGCTTAAACCAAGAGTTGAGATACTACAAATCTGCAGCCAATGCACAAAAAGCATCCAACCCTTATCAAACAGATTAAATGACCAATACTAAGCACCTACCTTGCCTTTCTTTCTCCTTCAGGGGATCTGCATTGTACACTCGAAACCCTGTTTCCATCCCACAGGCAAAACATCCTGAAATAGTCAGTGAAAACAAATTATCATTGAACTGTTATATTTGATCATATACATATAACTTGCTCCAAATGTACTTGTTATGAGAAAAATAAACATTGTTAAATAACGTCTCTACTTTGTGTCAGTGTTTTTGACCATCTTCGTAAACTGTTGTGCAGATTTCGATCGATTGCAGGATTTGCAAAGCATGTGCACCGCCAACTCGTTGTCAACAGATATTTTCCAAATCTTTTCAAGGTGCTCACATGATTTGATGCATTTCACGATGAAAGACCTGTTTTATCACAACATAGATCTTGATTATAGATCAGATCATCCTGACTGGGAGCCACTGTTTTGTTTGAAGCAAATGCAAGTGATACAAGAGGTGGAATCTGATTGGTCTATAGGAGAGGCTTAGAAGGGACATAACTCGTAACACTGATGCTAAGAGCCTTCTTCAGGCTTGTAGCCTCAAAGGTTTTTGTCACAGACTGCTGAAAAAATATCTGTGGATAGCAGCGGGCCCGAATACCCAGATTAAAACCACGAGAGAACAGATATATACCCTTGATAGTTCAAGGCATATATACGCATATATACGCATATATACTCACAACCAAAAGAAACGCAGATACCATACATGTTGATTAATATATGAAGAATTACTCATACTGAAGAGATATTTTGATGGTTGATGCACAAACACACTGGTATGTTGTTTGAACCAACGCTCATGAACACAGCACATGTGACGTCATAGATCCATGACTTGAAATGCACCATTTGTATCGAGCAGGATTAGTGTGTAAAGTTTGGAAATCACATGCAGCATGAAAAGGGGTACTTAAATGTGAAAATAACGCTGCAAAAATTTAGTCTTGTTTACATGCACCCACTGTCATGCCACACTTGAGCACTGATGACAGGCACAGAGTTATTGGCAATATTGAGGCCGGGTGAACTGTTCAACGTGTTGCCCATCAATATAGAGTTCACAAGTCAACTGTTTACAGATTTCTGCAACGTCACGTCCAGAAAAACAATGTCAATGAACGAGCTCGGAGGGGTCACACTTGGGTGATGTCATACGGACAGGATAGTTATATTTTTAATTCTCAAATGTGGAGTTGGTTCTTACAGGCAGCCAGTACAGCAAGAAACACTGTTGGAACTCGCAACAGGCCAATAAGTCTCAATACCGTTCAAGGCAATCCCATCAACAACCATTTATGGTGCCGCAGACCCTTTGTTGGGGCTTGATTGACTCCATGCCACCGCCTTCCTCGGCAAAACTAGGTAATACTGGCAGAATAGATAATGACAGAATGTAGTGCTTTCAGATGAAAGTTGGTTTTGTAACAAAGCGGTGGACAGCTATGTTAGAATATGGCGATATCAAAAGAGGGTTACAATGACCCATGTGTGTTAAAAAATAAACATTGGGGGAACCTTCCCTCATGCTTAGGGGTGCCATGAGTTGTGGTCGTCAAGTTCCACTTGTAATCTTCCAACACAATAACCAGGGACGTGGTAGAGGTGTAAATGTGCAGCGATGTATAGACGAAGTGCAGAGACCTGTAGCGGCCCCTTATTTTGCTTGGCAACAACATCTGGTTTTCCAGTCAATGTGCAACAACTGCATCAAGCTGTCTTGAACTAAGTGAACAGTTACAATAACATCCCTCAAGTGTTCACCTGGAACCTGTCCATGAGCATAAGTATCCATTGTGCTGTTGTGATCGCTGCTAATGGAGGTCACACACTTTGACATTTCTCTTTGCTGAACTCAAAAGTGACATTATGAACAGCCGCTATGATGTTACTGTTCAAGTGAAAATGTGACGCAATAATACATTGATAACAATAAAGACACTCTGTTTTAACACTTGACTGCTTGTTAGTTTTGTCAGTAGTTGGTACACATTGGAAACATCTCTTCTTAACTTAGATACTACTCCATATGTTGCTATTGTTCGTGCTTCTTTGGTATTGAGTGTACTTTATGACGTTTATCAAGACAGAAGAATCAATGCCATTGCACAACATCAGAAACAAAATGAAGATGTTCAGAAACATGTCCAAGGACATGGTCATTGAGGACAGTTGGATTCTTTGCATGAACAAATTTAATCCAGTTGACCAATGTATTTGTGCAACCATGCACATGATCCTCAGCTGTCTCATAGGTGGAGCTTATTCTTTCCAGGACTTCTTCTCAAGGTTGTATATACACTGAAGAGAACATAAGTCAAACCATCCATCTCAAGTCTATTCCGTCGAACTTTGTCGTATGTAGCACAATGTGAGAAACTAACATGTAATAGAGCTCTATATTCTTTGATTTACCAAGTTACTAAAAGAACCGATCTTATTGTGTAGGGCCACAACCAGGCTTTTGAAGATGGATATATCATGACATATGACACATATTAACAGATGTGCATTTATTATCATTATATTAAATCCAAGATTGTACGTGAGGTAAATACAGCCTTAGGACAATGAAATAGTAAAATGATTCAAGTTCCACTGGATAGATAAGCTGGTCGACATATACGAGAGCCAATACACAGATCAGATTGCTCTGTCATTAAAATCAGATAGTTCACCCCAATACCATATCTCTGCATTAAGATCTGAGGACACCTCCATGGAAGGTCGGGTCAATATAACTAGTAAAATCCTAGATACTTTTTATATTTGTATACTTATCCTGAATTACTCCTTAGTGCATTTACTGCTTGTTCTTGACAGTGAGAAAGAGCTGTGTGAGGTCTTGCTAAAGAAGAAGTTGTGTCAACTAGCTGAGTGGCTAACCCTATCACACAGCTCCAAAATGACTACAGAAGGGGTGATGCCATGTGTCACCACATTAATGCTAGACCAGAACATCTGAAGGCATAGTGGGGAGGTAGCTCTGCGATGGTTGGGCCACTTTAGACACAGCAATGCAGGATAAGTATACAAATATAAAAAATATCTAGGATTTTACTAGATTGTTTAACTTATCCTGCATTGCAACTAAATGCTTCTTTATCCGACAGTACAGTTGAGGGCATAAATTCAGAAGTGATATCCAATAAAATTCTTCAAAACGCTTCGGCCAATCAGCAAAGGCGATGTCCGGCATCGAGTGACCATTCCTGTTGACAGGGAGGGAGAAAGTTAGGTATCCGTGAAGTCCAGGTATTAAGGCAGTGGAGAAGTTGAATGAAATTAAAATCTAGAACTGATGTACAGAGCCTAATGTGTGTTGCATGTAGCCTCCTAATCTGGGGTGACATGGCCTGAAATATGATGGTGCGAAGCAATACGGCAATCGTGCAGCGGCCCACTTCAACCTGTGATGTCGCTGATACCAGTATGAGTAGGCGGCGATGTTGTCCTCGACGGTCCTTGGAGCATCAAATAAAGCAGCACAGCGCCCTAACCGGATAGTAACACTTCCTGTTCATCCTCTGACCCCACTATCAAAGAAAGGGGTGGGATTAGGAAGGGGGTTGATTCTTGGCTATGAAGTCCCAGCACAATCCTGGATGAACAGATCAGTGCGCTCCTGCTCAATAAAAAAACGATTAGTGTCCAGTCTTTTTGGTGAGGTTATAGTACAACACCTACTGGAGTGGTTCAAAGGCTGTGCCTCTCATTAAGGTAAGGACCATGTCTATATTCCATGCTGGGGGTAGAGACTTGGCCTTTTGGTCTTCCAGGCGGAAGGAGCGTAGTAAGGCTTGCGGTTCCGAAATCTTTGTCATTTTCCAATCTTCCAGAACAACCAGAGTTGAGGGCCACAAGGTAGGTCATGATGGTGCTGCCCTTCAGACGTTTGTGGCGCAAAAGCAGTAGAAATACAGTCAAGAATTGGGGAGATGAGGTGGGGTCCTGGTGTTTTCCTTGCAAAACTCTCAAAGGAATGCCACTTATTGTTGTACAGACCCCTGGTAGATGGTCTATGCACAAGGATAATTACCCTCGCCACTCTATCCGAAAAGCCTTTGGCACTTTAAGGCTCTGATCGGGCCGCATGCTATGAGGGTCAGTCTGGGAGTTTGAGAGGGTTGGTGGCAGTTATCTCCTTGAGATTCATGAACCAGCCTCTTGCCGGCCACCAAGGCGCGATCAAGGTTAGAAGTACCCTGGGAAGGAGTACTGGCGGCAGAAAAGCTTACGCTGAAGTTATCAACTGCCCAAGCCTGAGGGTCCGGTACCGGTGATTTGAAGGTCCGGACCTGGTAGTTCTGGCTGGTGGCAAACAGGTAGATGTTGGGGTGGCCGAGGTGGATTCCAGACAAGGGCGGATGGAATTTCCACTCTGTGGGAGCTGTCTTGTTCAGTCTGGAGAGGGCGTCTGCAAGAATGTTGCGACAACCAGGGGGATGTGTTGGACCCAACACTGGTGTTCCAGAGGATGGTCTAGTTGGAAAAACTGGAAATGTTTGACGTGGGAGTGGGAGTGGGTCGTGCCCTGATTGCAGAGGCACCATACAACAGTGATGTTGTCCGTGGATATGCTGATCCAAGCACGCTGGAGCGTCTGCTTCAAGAGAGCCAGTATGAGCGCCTCTAGTTCTAGGCTGTTGATGTACCACTATTGTTAATTTACAGACCACAGCCCCTAGGCAACTTGACCCTCCAGATGTGCTCCCCAGCCTTGAAGAGGTGTCAACAAATAGGTGTAACAAGGTCGTAAGCTCTGTCAAAGAAACACCATCTAAAATGTTTGATTCCCCCGTCTACCACTTAAGGTGTGGTTTGAGACGGTCCGGGAAGACAATGGACACCGACTGATCCTGGCGTCTGATGTAGGGAGCAAGGAACATCTGTACAGGGTGCAGTTGAAGTCTCCCTCTGGAGGTCAGATCCTGCGCTGACCTAGGAGTACCTGCCACTGGCGCAGAGCGCGCGGTTGGTGGGGATGGTGGACAGCAGGGACTAGGTGGGAGTTGTATTCAGTGCCACCTGTCCCTTGTACACATAGGAGGTCCCGGTTTGTTTCGAATAGGCCTCCGATGAAC